ACCACTCGGATAATCTGTACGATTGTGTGTGATTTCTCTCCTTTTTAAGTATCTTCGTGGTATGGCCAGAGTATGTTTAAATCCTATAGTGTCCTGGGGTCCAATAGGTATGTCACTAGCATTTTGTCCTTACTTGAAAACAAACATCTGAGGTACTTGCAACTAAGGATTAATTTGTTTAACAATGGTTTTAACAATATTGTTGGGATTCTTCATATGGGTTCTATTTCATTTAGGCTACTCAGTTCCTATTGTTGCTGCTAACATTCATTGTTGCAAAAAGTATCTTACTAACGCATTTCACCCGGAAACGTGCTAATGTTACAGTACAATAAAGGTGTGGTTAAAGAAAAAGTAATTAAGTAACTGGAATGGTACAACATTAGGTAATAACTGGACAATGCTCAAACTACACAATATTGTGTAAGAAAAGTATGTAGACAGGAAGTTATCTTAGAATAATATCGTGAACATTATACAGTAAATATTTGAAATGGATATCTAGAATATGATAAAGTGATTTTTTTTTATTTTGGTTAGCCAAACAGATCTAGAGAAAGGCAACAACTTAGAAGCTTGTTGATTTTTTTCTGAGATTTCATTCTATGGATGTGAGATTTTGTTTCAGTATTTAACATAGTGGGATTTATGTAAAGTTAGTAAAATGTTACAATGTACTAAGATAAGACACATTTAAATATTAAACGTAATACAAATTTGTATAAGTATCTAAACTTCTGCTACCTGCTATATAAATTTAAACAATTAGAACGGACTGTGACTTACTGACTACTGAGGTAACTTAAAATGTAGTATGTAAGTTATAGTATGCAATGGAAAATTACACCATCTTACTGTCTTTTTAACCAGTAACCAGAGTGTGTGAATCAACCGCTAATCTCACTTCAAGAATTTTCAAATCAACACAACCACTGTTTCATTGTAAAATTACCAGTTTTAAAATGCAAATCGTAAAGGCCGAGAATTGGATGAAAGCAAGGTGGTCACGTGATATTTGTTTACAAGATGATTTTCCTATTAAAACTTCCAACAAAAAATTGTTATGGGTGTAAAGTAACTGTTCTGAATTATATTCCGTTTTAATCGACTACTTGATTCCCGTATGTAGGTCGGGCCGACAGATAGTGTTAATTAAAACTGCCTATTTAATTCACCAGGAGAACTTCAATCACATGTGTTGACAATTAATCATAAGTTTATAGAATTTGACCCAATTACTGGACACAATCAGATTAATCTCAATCAACTTGATTCTGATCTGATTTGCCTTTGATTAAAGCTGAATTAAGATATTGGTTTATACAAATTTATATTTGCCAATCAACCAAACCAGTAAGATAGCCTATATAAAATGTTTCTCTGGTACAATTTATATAGGTAGCTTTAATATTAACATGTTGAAAATTGAATTAAATTAAATTAAATTATAAAGTACTTTATTGAACAAAATAAAAGGTTTACAATCATAAATAACAAATAAAGATCCTAACTATGCTTCCTCAACAATTTCCCAAAATAGCTCCAACCCCTCCCGTTTAAATAATTGATGAACTCTTCGTGATCAATAAAATATTTTCCTAGCCATCTGAACCTAACCCTTTCTAAGATTGGACACTTGACTCAGCAACAAAATGAAATACAGTGTTATCTTTATTTAGATTGCATAGAAAACAAGTATGATTCCCATTTCTCCATGGCTTGTAGTTCAAATCGATCAGCTGAGCTCTAGCTTTGATGATCCATGACACAAGCCCTAGGTCTGCGTTATTAGAGTGGTCCTTGGTCCTTGTATTGCGCTGTCAAGGCTTGTCCCTCACATCAGCAGCTACACCAGCGCTGTATCTCTCGCTCAACCACCGTCGTCAGCTGCGCAACCATACCCGCCCCCCCCCCTCCACATCAACCAAATCTAAATTAATCTTCACACTGTTTTTTGCTTAGGGACTTCCAAATCAAACAAAGTTTGAAACATCAAAGTTTGAGATTAAGTTTGCTTAGGGTGGCCAAACAAGGTTTTTTGAAATAATGTCTCCTAGTAGAAACCTGAGTAAACGATCAGGACCCATTGAAAAGACAATTTTCTGAATGTAATTAATATGTTGGCTTAAGGTGAAAAGGTGCCATTTTTCAAAATTTGTCTAAATATATAACAAATAGTTTTCTGCATTTGCACGCAATCTCAACAACTTTTAACATTTTACTTTTTAACATTTTTGAACCGCCTCCACTTGTTCGCTTTCATAACAGCTCCATTTTATGAAACTTAATTTATAACTTAAATGTTTGCATAACTTGAATTTTATGGAAACATAGATAAATGTCCTTGACGTACCTGATTTATTTAGCCTTAGAGGGCTTTACTCTGCAATAATCACAAAGTTAAGTCCAACTAAAGATTTTAGTACATCTGCAAACATTCTCGTTCATAGTTTATTTTAGACCATTTTAACAACGTTCGTGATGGTTATATGTACCTAGTATATGAATTTTGAATGTGAATATATAAATTATTCACTTTAAACAAGTGACTAAAACTTTATGTCAGTTATTTTTACTTGGAAAAGGAGAAGATTATTGTTTTCTTAAATATTAACAAAGTGCTCTACAACATAATTTTGAAAAATACATTCAAAAATATACAAAAGCCGTGTAAAATTATCCCTAAAATATTAGTTAGGTTTAACAACCTAACTAATTACTAATACTAATTATTTTAATTTGGTCAGTAACTTATTGGGTTGATCAGTGTTAAAGCAAATTATATAATTAAGCGGATACTTGGTAATGATTGCAGGTAATGCTGAGGTTGGCAGCTGACACATCGCCAATGTACCTGCAGGGTAGTGCAGCAGTCGTGTGGCGTACTAATTGGCGACTTGCTATTGGAATAAAGACCAATGTGAAACTTATCTACATTGCAAGGTTTTATTGCAGATGTTACTTATCCTGAAAACCAAACAATTTATTGTAATGCAAATATATTTTTACAAAACGTATCAAAAATATTAAATAATTTGAACCTACAAGTTTCCATTATTTAATAATATTCTGGTGTCGCGGCATTCCAATGGTAGAAAGAATTAGCAATAAACTCAATCTAAGTTTTTTTTTGTTTTTTTTTTCATTTGTTTTTATTAAGGTTCGTTCTCTTATTGGCTCTTAAATCCAAACTAGATTTCAGAAATGTCTTTATTAAACTACTTTGGCTACAGATAGAAGTGATTTAAGTTCAACTTCATGAAATTCGTCCAGAGGCTATTTTTGCACTCGTTTCATTGAAAACACGACTCAGTACATACAGAAAAGTGGAACTTCCGTATCATTACTTTTTAAAGTTTACATATAAAATTTTATTACATTACCAATTTAAAGCTGACCCGAGAAATCTGATTTTGAAGGTCATTGTAATGATGCTTTATCGTTATTAACTACAAGATAAGGCAGTCGCAAATTCCTGTTTCAGGAAATGTGAGTGCTGCACGGAAGCTGACCTGTTGCTGACCTCACAGCGAACACAACCATTAACCTTTCCCCTTTATGATATGCTAATAAATAAGGAAAGTTTCATTGATCTAGTTAGTTGAACTATTGTGACACCTACATTTTAAGTGAGTAGCAAATTATACTACATAGAATGGACTAAATTACTCTTTGGTTGCTGGCTGTAATCAAGTAATTTAGGTCTACTTCAAAATTGACATCTTTACATACTAAAAGAATGTTTACAAAATATTGTAAAGGAACAAATATAATTATTTCTTAAATGAGTTCACCTACAACATGTAGGTGACACCTAATTCAATGTAGATGGCAATTTTTAAGCATTATACACATAATATGTATACGCCTCATATCATATAAAAGTACCGCTGCGTAGAATACAAAGCAAACTATTGAATATAAACTACGTAAGATAAGTAGGCATAATATTATTTTTTTACAACTAATTAACTCCAGGATGGTAGACATATTTCATAAAAACTAACAAGTATGCTTGATTACATTTGTGACAATTGTGAGAACCATCTGATATTTCTTATACTGACTTACAATTAACTTATCCCTTCCAATATCTGAAATTGGGAACAGTCAAGCTATTACAATATATTTAATTCAAATTAACTGCGCACCTAAGATTCTGCATCCTTAAAATATTACATTTTCAAAAATATTTACATGATTAATTAATTGTAGTTTTAAGGAGAAATTCAGTATTAGACAGTGTGTTAGTTTTAGGCCGGAGCTTATTTGGAAAGCTGTTCAGCCGTTGTATACCTAAACAGTCTTGCAGTTTCAAAAGCACTTAAAGCAATAGCTCTTGACGGCGGGATTGTCGTCGCTTTCTGACTGAAGCTATTCCACTGCAAAACGATTGCCGATTCAAACAATGCTGCTTCTCTATTGATTTTTTACAGTTTCCAACAACAATTGAAATTCAATTTATGTTATTACTGTCCTAATTTACATTTGTAAATTTAACTAATCAATTAATTTATTGTCCTAATTAATTTGTTTGAGGTTTTTAATTTCTTTTAGTATGTTTCATTTAGCATTCAAAACCATGCTTGTTATTATTAGCAAATATTAGCTTATTATTTGTTATTATTAGCTTTAAATTTTACAATTTTCATTGTAAATTGAATGATGTCGTAACCTAACCGTTACGTTAGAAAGTGGACAGTAATTATAAAAGAACCACTTACGATCGCTGTTGGACATAGAAGAAGGAGCCGTGACGAATCATCCCACTTCAGGGCTCAGTGCACAGTGCAGCCACCCCGCAAAACATAATAACTCTTCCGTTACTAATAATTATGACTGTTCATATATGAAACTATAATGACTTCTACTACACTCGTCTTCCCCATAAAAAAAGTCAATATCATAAATTCAAAATTAACTCAACTTTCAAAATAAAATAAATTCACTTTCAATAAAATGCAACCAAAATTTCTTCTTCCCATTATTCATTAATAATTTTACAAGTCCAGCCTGTGAGGCTTTCGCACAGTCCGTGCAGACTTCCTCAGCGAGGGTGGTGGGCTGCACTGTGCTAGCGGCGACGCAGGAGTTGGCTGAGGCTGGGCTTGCCCTAGGCTCTCCCTGGGACTGGTAGTAGGCCTAGGTACAGGTGACATCATCAGGGGACTAGATGGTCGATCCTCCGGCGGGGGTGAATTCTTGGGTACTTGGGGTGATACAGCGGGATCCTTGGGTGATACAAAAATCTCCTCCTCTTCTGCATACCGAGCTCTCAAGTGATCCGCATGACAAAATCGGGGTTTTCCACCAATAACACTCACCAGATAGGTGACCGGACTTCTCTTTAGAATTATTTTGCCAGGAACCCAAGATATCTTTTCATTTCGGACAGTTTTGACATAGACTGCCTGACCTTCTGAGAAAAATCTACTTCTTCCCCTAAGCCTATCAGCTGCATCTTTTTGTTCCCTGTGTTTTTGATCAATGGATGACTGGAGATTGGGTTTTAACATAACCAACTGAGTACGAGGCTTCCAAGACAGGAACATTTCTGCAGGGGTTAAGCCAGTAACTGTATTTGGAGTGTTGCGGTACGCAAACAAGAAATTATCTAATTTCATTTGAAGAGTGGTACGCTGAGAACGCTGATGTTCCTCAATCACTTGACGCAAAAGGTTTTTCTTGACCTCCTGAACACTTCTCTCAGCAGATCCATTTGAAGCCGCATGATACGGGGGAGTTAATGTGAACTTCACATTGTTGTTATGCAAAAAGGTTTTGAACTCTTGACTAGTAAAAGATCTTCCGTTGTCCGACACCAGTTCGACAGGCAATCCATACGATGAAAACAAGGTACGGAGTTTCTCAATAACCTTGGAAGAATTCATGGAACTCATGATAAATACCTCTAACCATTTAGAGTATGTGTCAATCAAAACTAAAAGTTGCTGTCTCGACTCTGGATCCTCCGCAAAGTCAATGTGTATCCTCTGCCATCGGGTTGATGTTGTAGGCCATTGCTGCAACGGTACTTTAGGTACCGAATTCCTAGTTAACTGACAAGCAGAACAAGAAGCCACTACGTCCTCAATCGACTTTTCCATGCCTGGCCACCAGACATAACTTCTCGCCAGCATCTTCATGCGCGTAACTCCCGGGTGTTGATCATGCAACATTTGAAGCACAGATGAATACAGTTTCTTTGGAATCACTACACGAGAACCCCACAGCAAACAACCTTGTTCCACGGACAACTCGTCCTTCTTCCTTAGAAAAATAGCTAGTTCCGGCTCAACAGAGCTCGTCCAGCCGTACATCACAAAATCTCGGACCTTCGAAAGAATCGGATCCTTATCCGTCATTTTACCTATATGCAAGGCAGTAATAGGTGCAATGTCCTTGACAACACAGAAATTGTTCATCACTTCTGTACACACATCTACATGTGAAACAAAATTAGCCTCCAGCTCTATAGGTTCCGCTTCTGCTAAGGGTAACCTAGACAACGCATCAGCGTGAGGGACATCCACTCCCTTCCGGTACCTAACCTCCAAATCATATGCTGATAGAATCAAGGCCCATCTCTGCAGCCTAGCTGCCGCCATACTAGGAACGCCCTTTTTAGAGCCAAAAATAGCCGTCAACGGCTGATGATCAGTCTGTAGAATACAGTGTCTTCCATATATATACTTATGAAACTTTTTGACTCCAAAGATCAAAGCCAGAGCCTCCCGATGTAACTGAGAATAATTCCGTTCACTGGAACTTAGCGTTTTCGATGCGAAGGCAATTGGCCTTTCCTGACCATCGATAAGATGAGATAGAACAGCAGCCACCCCTCTGGGACTCGCATCACACGTCAGAACTATGGGCTTTTTAACATCATAGTGAACTAACAAACTTGAGTCCAACACCCATGATTTACTCTCCTGAAAAGTCTTAGAACACACCTCCGACCACACCCATGGATGATCCTTATGTAATAAGTCATAAAAACAGCTTATTCTAGCAGACAGGTTAGGTATAAATGCATGATAATAATTTATTAGACCAATATAGGCTCGTAACTCTTCCTTAGTACTAGGCTCAGGCGCTTTACGCAGCGCAGTTAACAAACTTTCTTGTGGACGGAGACCATCTCGAGTAATCACATGTCCTAAATACTCGATTGAAGATTGCAAAAACTTACACTTTTGTTGGTTTACTCGAACACCAAACTCATCAAGGCGTTGCAGCACCTGCGCCAGACGGGCAAGCCCCTCTTCCTTAGAGCGAGCCGCCACTAAAACGTCATCTAAGTACGCCACCGTTCCTGGAAGACCTGTTAAAATTTGGTCGATGGCTGACTGAAAAATTGCAGGAGCTGAAGACAAACCATATGGTAGCCTTTTTAAACGATACAGACCCTTATGGGTAGCTAGGGTCAACAGATGTTGCGATTCATCCGCTACCGCCAATTGCTGATACGCATTTGAAAGATCAAGGCAGCTAAAAACTGAGCAACCGCCTAGAGTTGCAAAAATATCTTGAGCCTGTGGAAGCGGATAATGTTCCATTTCAATACACTGATTAAGAGTAATCTTATAATCGGCACAAAGCCTAACACCATTAGGCTTAGGGACAACCACAAGTGGAGTGCTCCACTGTGAATTAGTAACTCTGTACGCAACATCCTCTTGAACCATGCGGTCCAACTCACTCTCAACTTTCTCCCTTAACGCAAAAGGCACTGGTCTCGCCTTACAAAACTTAGGGACTGTCCCCTCCTTTAAGACAATATGAGCCTTAACACCCTTAATTTCGCCCGTTCCAGGCTGAAAAACTGACTTAAATTTACTCTTCAATTTAGCAATGTCCAAATCAGAACTGTGATCCACAGTGGCTTTACATGAAAACACATTTTGCCAATCTAACCTCAACTGGCCTAACCAGTTTCGCCCCAACAGAATCGGCTGACTCTTACTTTCTAAACTAACTACTGTCAAAGGCAAACTCGCCTGCTGATTATTATATTTAACATTGACATTCACTTGTCCCAGAACAGGTACATCATGACCTGAATAAGTAGTAAGTTTCACATTTGCTGGCCTAAGTTTGAGGTTAGAAATTTTTTCATAAAATATCTCAGAAGGACATATAGTCAAGGCACTGCCTGTATCTAGAATCATTTCTAAATATACATCATTAGCCACTAGGCCTACCTTATAGCCGTTGTCTGATCCTGATTTAAGGTTGTACAGACCTATCTCTGCCATTGGAACTTCTAGGCCTAGGCCTCTTCCTCCACTTGATGGATCCCCATCCTAGGTGTCGACTTTTTACCATGGAAACTAGAAGATTTCTTGGCTTTACACACTTTCTTGAGATGACCTATTCTCTGACAACCGTGACACTTGTAACTGGCGAACGCACACGCACTAGGCCAATGACCCGCAGAACCACACCTCCAGCAAGAGTTTCTAGAATTTTGATTTTCACTACTCCTATGCATGAAAGTTTTAGGCCTATTTTGACTTTTCACATTGATTTTCGCAATGTCCCCACGAGGTTGCACAAATAGGCTTGACTGCGATTCGGCCTGTTCCAGCCTGAGCGCTGACGCATAAGCTTCGTCAAAGTCCAATTCCTCCGACAACAATTTCTGCCGGATAGTTTCATTAGAAATGCCGGAAATCACTTTGTCCCTCAAAGCGTCTTTCAAAAAGGTACCAAATTTGCACGAACTAGCCAAATGTTTTATTGAAACCACAAACTCCGCTATGCTTTCGCCCGGCTTTTGCACACGAGAGTAGAATACAAATCGCTCCGCCACAACCAACTTCTTGGGCGCATAATGTAATTTCAACAACGCTGCAAGTTCATCATAGGTCTTAGAATCTACCTCTACCGGTGATAATAAATCGGATAGGACCGATAAAACCCTGGGAACAATAACTGTAATTAAAACCGACACCTCGTTTTCCTTCTTAACATTGTTCGCTTTGAAAAAATGTTTCAGGCGCAACAAATAGGGCACAATGTCCTCCTCACTTGGATTAAATTCAGAAATCCTGCCAACACTAATACTCGCCATTTTTAATCATCTCAACTATAAAACGCACTAAAACAACAACTGTTATCGCGTACTACCCTAACTATGATAAAAAGGTTTATTACCGACTGCGCCAAAATGTCGTAACCTAACCGTTACGTTAGAAAGTGGACAGTAATTATAAAAGAACCACTTACGATCGCTGTTGGACATAGAAGAAGGAGCCGTGACGAATCATCCCACTTCAGGGCTCAGTGCACAGTGCAGCCACCCCGCAAAACATAATAACTCTTCCGTTACTAATAATTATGACTGTTCATATATGAAACTATAATGACTTCTACTACATTTCTGGGTAGAATTTTAATGTAGGTGACGTGTAAATTGTCCTTTGCAATTAAACTCAAAATCAGACGCCTAAAAAGGGACAAATGTTGAACATGTAATAACACATAAGCCTTAAGGTGTATGGAATTAGGTATGTGGTTATAATATTAGTCCTTAAAAAGCTATTCAAAATCATAAAACTATCAAGTAGCCTATATTTGCCTTTACCTACCTAGGTTTCATTCCCGTCTTAAGAGCTTAGGCAACAGATTACAATTTATTTGTCAACGGCTCCAAACGAGATTTTCTTTTTTTTGTATCCGATTAATTCAACTAGAAGATTTCTAAAAAATACTTAGTAAACAGTTAAGTTTCGATTTTTTTTTATAATAATATTACTTAACAACAATATGTCAATACAAACAATTAATACGAAGTCTTCGAGTACACTTTTATTATTTAGGCAAAATTATGGCATTTTGAATTATAGCATGAAGTTATAATTGATATAAAATTATTTATTAAACATAATATATTTTAGTATTAAAAGACGATGATTTTCTTTCTCAACTAAATAGAAAGCGTGTAGACCAAGAATGAGATAATAATTTACCCCGTTTATCTTTGTAGATGAAACAAAGGATCTCATTATAATTTTACTATGTTTATCTCTTTGTTCCAAACCTTTTAATGTTTAAGCTCTTAGCGCACCACTTTTGAAAGTGGGTCTACACATTCTATACAAAATACGCAATTTACTTATTACTCAAATAAAATACCTAATTTAACATCATATTTTACTGGAAATCGTAAAAGGATAGAAGATAGAAGACATGAATGCAGATTAGCTATGAACCAGGTAGCCAAGTCATTACCAGATATGAGCTCTGTTTATGTTAGATGGTGATATATCGCTATCACCGGTCGTGCTATCGTGCTGTCAATCACTATATCTCTTCAACGATAAAGATATACCTTAGTTGTTTAACATTGCCTTCATTATTTTGTGATTGTGACTAGGATCATTCCCTAAGGACGTCCATGCTTACTCTGACCGCTCTTTTAACGTTTCTAGCCTTCAAAATATTATGATTGAAAGCTCCATTATATGGCAGGTTTCTTCTTTCTGCTTGTAACTATTTAAACCAACCTAATTATTGTCATAAGCTGTCACACAAAATGTAAAGTGAACAATCAAACTAAAAAGTATGTTTGAATATTGCACAGTTGAAAGTCTTGTCATCAGCAGCGCAAGAACACAGTTGAGGAGGCAATTTGTTTCTTGGAAATGTTTCCTGCAGACGCGCGGCAATTACTGATAAGCGAACCGAGAGATTCAGGTCAATATAAAGTATCTTTGAATATTGCACAGTTGAAAGTGTTGTCAGCAGCAGCGCATGAACACAGTTAAGGAGGCAATTTGTTGCTTGGGAATGTTTCCTGCAGACGCGCGGCAATTACTGATAAGCGAACCGAGAGATTCAGGTCAATATAAAGTATCTTTGAATATTGCACAGTTGAAAGTCTTGTCATCAGCAGCACAAGAACACAGTTAAGGAGGCAATTTGTTGCTTGGGAATGTTTCCTGCAGACGCGAGGCAATTACTGATAAGCGAACCGAGAGGCCAATGTTAATAGATTTTAATGAGAAATGTTCCTAGATAAATTTAAGAATACTTCTCATTCAAATTGTATGGTTGTTAAGTTTGAACTAATCGGATTTTTTATTTCTCTTCATAAACGTTAGCATGCAAAGTCTTTTTAACAAATAAGGGATTAATTGCAAATCGCTGGTAAACACTTTCATAAATGTATATAAAACAAACATTATCTTTGACTAAACAGTCAAAGGCTGTTTAGTCTAACAGTGTAATGACTAAATCTATTACTTTCTCTATGGAACATGATACACTATTGATATGTAATTTATAGAAACGGAAGTGCATAATAGTTGGCTTATTTAATTTTTTTCATGCTTTGATACAGAAATAAGTGAGTAAAAACATAAAAAGGAATTTATTTTAATGCTAAAAGATCTTAATAACCTGCCACTTTCAGCCCAAGCTATAATTTATTCCAATTTGTTTCACCACGCACATTATCCGGGATAATTGGTTTTTTGCAAATTTAAGTTGTTGATTTACCTGTAGATCGGTTGTTCTGTATTGAATGCAGAAACAACACATGAGAGAAAGGTTACTTTGATTTATTCATCGTATTAAGGAACATACATATTGATATTAATAAAAAAATTATAAAAATATTTTTTATAATTCAGTCAATGTAGTCTAAATCCCAACTGTATAACAATCTAAAACAATCGGAAGTAGGGGTGTTTTGTTTACTTTATTATATACTTTTTGTGGAAATGGTTATACATCAGTCCATTCAGAAACACAAAAATCACTTTATGATATGAACTCAAAATGATTATTTACCATACTGTATATGATAAAGACATAGTAGTTTACGCAACGATCGCGTGAAGATAGTCTTTATGACATTAGTAGAAATTTTAAAGGCAAGTGCCTTAAAAACTTCTACGAGTGTCTTAAAGACTACATACGCGAGTTGCGTACACTACTTTAACGACGACCGTTTATAAATTACTAATAATCACTTCTTATTTATTCTAAAAGAGGGTACGTTTTCGTTTATAATTTCTTATTGCCACTGATAGTGATGCAACGACTCATTGTAACACTCATTAACAATTTAATTGGTAAGTTGATAAGCTGACTTTTGAAGCATTACAGTTTCACTTCTTATCTCTCGATCCTCGAACCTCATTGGTTCGTTACTAGTGTTGTTAAGTAAAAAAACAACCCAGTAAGAAAAGAATTGAAAAGGCTAGTTAAAAAACTGTAAAAGGTAAAAAAAAATACTATTATGTATACTACAAACCAAAACGCCATAAAACCCTGACGTATCGTAAAAGTAACTTGAAAGTAGGTTAATGATGCACATAGGCTAGGAAAACATGAACATTTTGTTCAGCATAATATTTTGTATCCAGACGATTTGATAATCCCAGCTTTGGAGGCTCACGCTCGCGGTAGATAGACCAAATCTATTTATGCGGATGCATAATGCAACAGTGGTGACTAATAATCCCTCGACCAACTTTGGTGGCGTACGTCAAACACATTACTATACAATACTATAAATTATACTATACGTTGATGGGCCGCGACAACTCTAGTCATAGCCTACTCGCTAGATTTGTCGCTCGTGTGAACCAGGCCCATGATCGCGATCCTCTAATGCCTAAGATTAGCCATTACGCACAGTTAAAAAAATATTTCAGTTATTTTTGTATTGTTCGTGAAATATTTGTTGTCCTAACCTTTCCAGAGTGACGTATAGAAAATCTGTTTTTGGATTTTGTCTTTATTTAAATACAGTATCTTTAGACTGTTTCAGGGAATGTTTTGCAAATTGTTGCGTCACGTCGAACACACCACAGATGATCAGATAAACTCCCGGCTGTGCAGTGTCCAGCTCTGTAGTGATATCGGCGATCTCTTGGTCTCTGGGGAAGTCAACAGTTCGGGCTTATCTCTCGTTAGAATAACAATGTATTTTATCTCATGTAACAGGAACAGAAATTACATTTAGCATTTCAAGTATGACATTGTATTCGTCAAATGAAATCCGAATCTGAATACGATTTGGGAAATAAAATATATAATTTTGTAATGTTTGCCACTTTACTATGATGATTTGTTCAGTAACGAGTAAAACGTCTGAACGAATTTTATAGATTCAAATGCTCTCTTGCTTGTGATGATGATCCGCATTTTTCAAGACACCGAGAGTTGGAGTTGAAATAGTTTCGTAATCAAATGAACTTGTAAAGCTACATCAATGCAATACGTACTTTCCAAAAACAGCAAT